GATTCTCCTGTCTCAGCCTCCCAAGCTGCTGGGATTACAGGCATGCATCACGACGCCTGGCTCTATTAGATCTTGATTATAGAAAGACTAGCAAGCTTAGCAAGGTCACAAAACATCCATGTTGCCAAACCTATATTATTTACAATCCTCACGTTGTTTGACCTCTCAGTAAAATGTGATCCATTAGCAGTAGATCAGTTCTTTATCTTTAAAACATTCTTTTCTGTGCTTCCACAATCTCTTCGGCCTAGAAAAATCTCACAAAGACTGGTAGTACAGAGCCTAATTCCTGGAGTATATGGAGGCCTGGGGTGTAGTGGTGGTGAGAATGTTGGCTCATAAAGAGGACTGAGCTGTCCACCTGTCCTTTCTTCCTCCTTCATTCTCCTTAATTGGAACTGAGTTTTCAGCTATCACATTCAAAGGGTGGGAGGAATCCCAGAGACTCAGGAGGCTGAGGCAGGAGGACTGTAAGTTCGAAATCAGCCTCAGCAACTTAGAAAGACCCTGCCTAAAAATAACATATAAAAAGGAGGACTTAGCTCACTGGTAAAGCGCCCCTTGGTTCAATCTCTAGTGCAAAACAAATACCAAAAAAGAAAGGGGGAGGCCAGGCATGGTGGCACATGCCAGTAATCCCAACATTCAGGAGGATGAGGCAGGAGGAACACAAGTGTAAGGTCAGCCTTGGCAACTCAGTGAGAGTCTGTTTCAAAAGGAAAAGGGCTGGGGATGTAGCTTAATGGTAGATGGCTCCTGGGTTCAATCCCCAGTACTGGGGAGAAAAAAAGGTTGGTGGGGAAAGGGTCTCACGTAGGAAGCACAGCTGTGGGCTAATGCAGGTAGAAAGAGCACACTAGAGCTGCACTACTGCTAGAACTGCAGAAGTAGAAGTCAGGCTCCTCTTGGAACTACAGATATTGAAAGGGGGAAAGCTATAATAAATCTGGAGTGCTGGGATAGAATATGAGGAATCAATTCAAACTTAAGACTTTTAGTATTTATAAATATCAAAACTGATATAGATGTATTTTTATAAACATATGTATATAGACACATTCATTGCCCTGTACACTAAAAGAATTAGACGAAACAACCGAAGCAATCAGCACACACAGTACTCAAGGTCTTGATTCTTTTTTTGTTTTTTTTTGTACCTGGGATCGAACCCAAGGATGCTTAACTACTGAGCCACATCCCCAGCCCTTTTTATTTTTTATTTTAAGACAGGGTCTTGTTAGGTTGCTTACAGTCTTGCTAAGTTGCTGAAGTTGGCTTTGAACCCCAAATCTTCCTGCCTCAGCTTCTTGAGCCACTGGAATTACAGGAATGTACCACCACACCCGGCAGATCTTGGTTTTTAAATACAATTCTCTACTGAAAGCACCCAGACTCTTAAAAAAATGGGCAAAAGGGGAAGAGGGGAGGGAACATAGGGGCAGGAAAGATGGTGGAATGAGATGGACATCATTACCCTAGGTACATGTATGACTGCACATATGGTGTGACGTACGTTGTGTACAACCAGAGAAATGAAAAGTTGTGCTGCAATTGTGTATAGTGAATCAAAATGCATTCTGCTGTCATATATACGTAATTAGAATAAATAATTTTTTAAAATCAGCATAATATGTGCCTGAGATAATTCAATGAGACAAGTACAGCAACATTTCTGAGGTACTCTTGACAAAAAGGTACAAATCACAAGGAGACATCAGAAAACCCAAACTGAGGGACATTCTACAAAGTAAATGGCCTGTATTTTTTTTTAAAAATAAAAAGGTCATGAAAGACAAGGAAGGACTATACCAGACTAAAGGAGACTAAGGAAACATGATAACTAAATGTTATATGTGACTCTGGATTAGATCCTGGAGCGACGAGGGTCAATACTAGAAATCAAGTCAAATGAAGGAAATATGAATGCAGTTGATGAATTAGATGGAAGCATTAAATCAGTGTTAACTTCTTGATTGATGGTTATAGTGTGGTTGTTTGGGAGTATCCTGCAATTAAAAATACACGCTTAGGGTTGGGGATGTGGCTTAGTGGTAGAGTTCTTGCCTAGCATGAGCCCTAGGTTCAATCCTTACACTACAACACACACACACACACACACACACACTCTCTTATTAAATATGGAGGAATGAAGCAACATGTCTGCAACTTATTCTTATGGTTCCAAATATTAAAAATTGAGCAATCTAAGTGAAAGGTATATAAAGCTGAAAATGCTATTTCTGTAACTTACATAAATTTGAAGTTATTTTAAAGCTAAAAAATTTAAAACACAACAGTAAAATATAGCCTATTAAATAAATTTGAGTCCACATTAAATAAACTCAAAGAAGTAAAGTAAAAAACAGAAAAGGATGGAGTTAAAAGTATCATAATAATAATTGATTCAAGTAAGATTTATCCAGATGCTACGTGAGAGTCTGATGAGGAACTATTTACATGATTTCAAAGTTATCTTCCTTCAACTTGCTTTTTTAATTACAAAGGGAAATAACTGCAGTAGAGAAACTTGGAAGACACCGCCTTAATCAAGTGATTCAAGTTAATGCTAATAGTGGGACAAATGGCATCATTCATCTTTTGATATGACAGTATAAACAGGACATATCGATTTTATGGTATTCATATAAAAAAATGCACAGATAGATCTAATCATAAGGAATACTACACAAACTGACTAGCCCGAGCTTTGTAAAATTATCTATGTCACAAAAACAGAAAAGCTTGAGAAATTCTGCCAGATTAAAGACTAAAGAGATGTGACAATTAAATGCAACATGTGAATAGGAACTGGATTGCAGGGGGAAAAGATGGCTACAAAGTACATTACAGGAACAAATTGGCAAAGTTTGAATATGTAGTATATTAGATAATATTCAATGTCCTGAATTTGTTAACTGTTCTGTGGTTATACAAGAGACTCTTTATATATTCATACAGCATTTAATTTATATTTAGTTTACATTACTTAAGAGATTATGCTAAAGTATACGGAAGTAAAGAATCTTATCTGCAATTTAGTCTCAAAGGGTACAGCAAACATAGTGTGTATTTCATAAGTACAGAGATTAGTAAGTCTAGGTAAAGGATATTGAGTATCTATTATTCTTGAAACACTTCTATAAATTTGAAACTATTTCAAAATAAAGCATTTCTTAAAATGAGATAAAAAGAGCTTATCTCTGGGTCTTGGAATCTCAACTCATTTTCATTCTCTTTTTAAACATATTTGCATTTAAAAATTTTTTTTACAATACAAATGTAACATTTTCAAAACCATAACAAACACTATTTTTATTTTAGAAAGAAAACTGATTTCCTGCAATACAATATGATCTAAAAGTATTTCTTCAAATAGTAGTTTCACAGTTCATTACACCACTTTGATGTTCAGATGTATTCTGTGAAAGTTAAACATTAAATTGCCACTTGACAGATTGGCTGGGTCTGAATTTCATCATGAATTCATGGAACCAACACAGAGTCAACTTTTCTTCAGTGTTAGGTTATGACATATTTTCAGAACTGGAGACCTTTAGTTTTTTGTTTTACATAAACTTAAATCAAGATGTCACAGATGCTGCTGGTATTTTTTTTTTAATCTTATCTTGATTTTCTTCACCATCTCCACTCTTAATTTCAGTTTGGAATCTGGCTATACTGGACTCCACAGAGACTCTGCCTCTACTGAGGCAATTTTTGCTTGGATTGGTTCTTCAGACCCAGAAGTTCTCCTTATGGACAAGGTTATATGACAGCAAGCATCTCCCTGGCTTCCATTCAGTAAAATGAAAATCTGTCATTTTCATCGGACTATCGATTGCCAGAAAGTCTTACAACCTTTCCTATAATTCCATATTTGACTGAGCAGAGATGAAAGAATACAAATAATCACTTTAAAGAACGGATCTAGCTCATGTCTAAAGCCATAACACCTTGAATACATCCTATCAGCTGATTTTGGAAGCTAAGCAGGGTCAGGCCTGGTTAATACTTAGAAGAGAGAATTAATCTAGCCCAATTCCTGCCTACCTGCCTGCCTATCTTTTTTAATTTTTCTTTTTTTTTAGTTGTAGATGGTCACAATACCTTTATTTTGTTTATTTTTATGTGGTTCCAGGATTGACCCCAGTGCCTCACGCATGCTAGGCAAGTGCTCTACCACTGAGCCACAACCCCCCCACCTCAACACACACATACACATCTATTTAGATACCAGGTCTCTTATGTTGCTCAGAGTGGTCAAAAAGTCCTGTGTTCAAGTGTTGCTTTTGCCTCAGCCTACAGAATAGTTGGAACTACAAGTCTGAGCCACTGCACCCTACCCAATATTTCATTTTGAAGAACATTAACTAGTGTTTTGGTTGCTTTATCAAAATGAATTTATCTTCTTTCTTCCAAATACAATTTGGAGTTGCAATTTACAATATGAACTTAGCATTCATATTTTACCTAAATTTCAAACAGATAATCACTGTTAAAAAACTCTCAAATAAGTAACAGATAAATCATAAAGTTAGTACAATAAACTTGTTAGATCCAAATAAATCTTTGAGTTGTCTCCCCTGCCCTTCAACTGATTTTCTTCTTTAAGGGATCAACTAATCCCTCATTCAGAACTCTATATGACTTATATTGCCTTTTAACAAAATCAATTAGCCCCTCCCAACCTGTACTGAAATTTTAACTCCTCTGGAAGGATCTCAATTGCACACCGCCTCTACAAACATTCCACTCATCTCTGGTATCCAATACCCAAAGTAACCAAGGAGTATTACAATTTTAAAATGTTCCAGAAATGGGAGCTGAAAAATGATAAATTCAAGATATGGGAAAATTCTGGGACTTTTGAAAACACAGAAGATTAGATCTTACCACTCTCTGTAAAACATTACTAGCAATACTTTTTAATACAATTTCCTCCTCTTAAGACACTAAACCTTTCACCCCATTTAAGTACTGTTACTAATAATGGTACTTACCCAGTATCTCCCAATCCATGAAGGAAAATAACCTAAAGAGGAGGAGGAAAAAAAGTAAGCAATGCTTAAATCAACGAGCCCACACACAACTGTAGCTTTGGTTAAGGTGAAAAACTGAATGAAGGTTCTTAAAACGTAAGACAGAATTCCAGAACACTGTATAGAATTAATATTATAGACCTCTTTTTAAATGGCAAAACAGCAATCACCTTTTCTACTTTTGGTTCCTAAGATAATTAACGTGGGGTTTTAGCACTTTAGAAGTCCCAGTTAGACATTCTGGAGTGCAAATTATCACATTACAAGGAAAACAGTTTGTCTCCGTCAAGTAAAACCATGGAAGTCTCATACACTGTAGAATTTTTCCATCACAAAAAGGAGTTTCCGGGGGGGCAAATATAAGTTTGCAATTCTTAGGAAACAAGTTCCCCTAAAAAAATCAAGACCTCTTATCTTTTAAGACACTAAAGCTTAAACTTCTGTCACTTAGGACAGGGGTGCGAGGTAGGACAATACAGCAACGCGCTTGCGGACTTGACCTCCTCCACACACCGAGTGGAAGCGTGCTGGAGAGGCACCGGCGCGCGTCGCTTCACGCCGGAGCCGGGCAACCGGGGTCCCGGGGCCGCGCTCCTTCTGCAATGCAGAGGCCAGGGGGTCAGCGCCGCTCTCCCGGCCAGCTGCGACCCCAGCGGTGTCCCCTCACGGCCCAGGCCGGGACGCACCACCACCCGCATCCCTCCCGGGCGTCCCCCGACCTGGTCGCCCCCGGCCTGCAACGACCACGCCGCGAGGGGGGACAGACGCCGGGGACGGGCCCTGTGGGCCCCTCTGAGCCCCGGCCGCCGTCACTCACCGCGGCGGTGGCCTTCCGGGCAGCAGGAACGACGGAGGGCAATGGGGCAGACATGTTATTGCCGCACATCCACCGGCTCCCTGGACAGCGCGTCGGAAGCGGAAAGCAGAGCGGGCTCCCGGCCGCGGCCCAAGGGCGTGCGAGCGGCGAGTCCCGGCCCGCCCTACCGGGCGCGCGCTCAGGCGCGTGCGCGCCAACGCGGCGCCGCGCCGGCCACCGCGGCTCCTCCGGCTCTCTGGGCTGCCCCGGCCCTCCTCCAGGCCCTCCCGCCTGCCCTCCGCGCGTCACAATGTCCAGGCTTTCCCCGCCCGAGCTTGAGCGCCGCCCGCGCTGACCTCCGCGGGTCTCCATTCCTACACCTGGTCTCGGTCCCCTCGGCCCGCGCGTGCCCGGTGCGGCGGCGTCGGGGTGGACCCGGGGGAGGCCCAGGCCGGCTGCTGGTCCCTGGAGCCGGGCTCCGTCCTCTGCACTAGCTCCCAAACCTTATTGCACCCGACCCTGGGTGCTCCTCCTTTGTCTCCGAAGGCCAGGGTTCGCCCATTTGTAAAAGTAAAAGGGAAGGACTGAGAGCACCCAGCTGGGCTGTTGCTGTGTCCCCATTTGGGTTTGCACCCGTGTGCAGTTTGGGGGTTGACTCAAGCTTGAGTTGGAACGGAAGCCTTTCAGTTGTCACTCAAAAGCCACAACTTCCCTAAACCTATCCACACTGCTTACAGATGGTCAGATTGCCAAGGGCCACAGATTGAAGCAGAAGTCTAACTGGCCCCTTCCCTGCACTGTTGGGCTGTCTAAAATGTAGTTTATTCAACAACTTAATTGCGTTTTTTAATTTATGGCATATGTGGTATGATCTGGTAGGATCCAAGAGATAGTCAAAAAGCTGTGACCAGCAGGGTGTGGTGGCACATGCCCGTAAATCTCAGGCAGGCTGAGGCAGGAGGATAGCAATTTCATTTTTCAATATCCGACCATCAGTAAGTAATGTGATCACATTTACATGAAATATCTAGAATAGAAAATTTCTTGGAGACAGAAAGTAGATTAAATGTTATCAAGGCTTAAGGGATGGGAGAATAAAGAGAGATTCCTTAAAGTTTATAGAGTTTTTGTTTAGGGTAATGAAAAAGTTTTGGAAATAGATTCTGGTGAACGTTGGACAACATTTTTTTCATGCAATTAATGCTATTGAATTTTATACTTAAAAATGTTTAAAAGGCAAATATTACATAGTATACACAACCACAATTTTTAAAAGTTAATATTATAATGTGTTAGTCATCTTTTCAATGTTTATTACATACTTGAAAAAAACTCACTTAGGAAAAGAAAGATTTATTTTGGCTTATGGTTTCAAAGTTTTGAGTCCAGGATTGGCTGGCTCCAGGATAGAAACATCATGGCGGAAAGTTGTTGCAAAGGACAGCTGCTCATCTCATGGCATCTATGAAGCAGAGAGGCAGAGAAGAAGGGGTTAGGGAAAAGATAAGTCTTAAGGGGATGTACCCCAAGGATCCATTCCTTCAACTAAGTTGTGTCTGTTACCCTTCTCACCGCCTCCAAATAGTCCATTCAGATTATGAATTCATAGATGGATTAAAATGAAGCTAGTGCCCTCATGATCAAATCACTTCTCCAAAGCCTACCTCTGAATACTGCTGCACTGGAGACCAAGTCTTCAACACATGAGCTTTTGGGGGGAACATGCCACATCTGAACCACAACATGTAATATACCCAAACTACTGAACTGTACACTTAAAAAAAATAGTTGTAGTCAGACACAATACCTTTATTTTATTTATTTTCATGTGGTGCTGAGGATCGAACCCAGCGCCTCGCAGGTGCTGAGTGAGCCCTGTGCGGCTGAGCCACAACCCAGCCTCCATCTGTACATTTTTTAAAAAGAAGACTTTATTCTTTTTTCACTAGGTGCAGTGGCACATACCTATAATCCCAGTAACTGAGGAGGCTGAGGCAGGAGGATCAAGAGTTCAAAGCCAGCCTCAGCAACTTAGCCAGACCTTGTCTCTAAATAAAATATTTTTAAAAAGGGCTGGGGATGTGGATCAGTGGTTGAGTGTCCCTGAGTTCAATCACCTGTATCAAGAAAGAAAAAACAAAACAAAACAACAACAACAACAACAAACAAACAAACAAAAAAAAAAAAAGAATGCAGGCAGGCTAAAGGTTGAAGTACTGGCAGCCAATCATATTATCTACTTGTGTTCCTAATTCTCTATCCCTGGCAGCTGGTGTCTGAACTCAGGGTTAAGACTGATAGTCCCATGCCTTGCACAGAACCTCCCTAAGCAGGGTATCACCATAGCAGCTGGGCAATCTTGACCTACATCTTTGCACAGCAAGTTCCCAGTCTAGGGCAGTCTCCTGCTTTGAAACAGGACCCTGATCCAAGTCACCACTCCCCACATTTGTCCATAGCTGCCTGCAGTAGCTGATGTCATTTAAAGTTGGGGGACATTTAAAGTTGGGAGTGTCATGGTTCAAAGGCTACAGACTCTTGCTGTTTTGGCCAAGATTTATTAGATCTTTTAGAATGTTTCTTTTTGTGTTCTACATCCTTGGAGTAATTTCTAGAGACTTTAAGTTAAATTTTTTTTTTCACCACTTGGTTGTCATGAGGGGAATATTCTTCCACATCCCTATACCCCACTTCTGGAAGTTCCTGTCTTTATCTGTTGCTTTTTAAGTTAGTTTGAACAGTGTATGTATTTCATGGAATTTGATTTCAAGGAATTTCATTTAAATTGTTGAGTTTATTGATGCAAAGTTTTTCACTATATTCCAATCTCATTTTTTAATGTCTGAAGAAGTTATAGTGATGTTTCCTCTGCCATTCCTAATGTTAGTAGTTTGTGTCTTTACTCTTACCCTTGATGGTCTGGCTTGGTTTCTAAATTATATTGACCTCATATAATCTGCTTTTCATTTAATTATTTTCCTCTTTTTTATTTCATTGGGTTTTTTTTTTCTTTTGCCATTTTCTGCCTCTTTTATTGCCTTTTACCTTTTTTATTTTAGTTTTCTTCCCCCTAGCTTTTTTAGTTCATTGATTTGAGAGTTTTCTTCTTTACTAGTGTTTTTTTAATTTTTAAAAATTTATTTTGTAGTTAAAGCACCTGGAGCTCAATCTCTAGTTAACAACAACAACAACAAAAAATGTATTTTTAAAAAATTTTGTTTGTGTCTTTGTATTTCTGTTACCCAGTGCTGCAATAGAAATAAAATGAAACTACAGGGTAGCAAAATGTGTGATTTTTACTTCAGGGTTAAGCATAGGAAAGGAAATCCCAAAGGTGTTTACCACACAAAGTTACATAGGAAGAAAAAAGTGAATCATTTGTACAAATAGCCAGATGAAATCTACACCCGCCAAATTGCTGTGCATTCTTTCAGGTAAAGAAAACAGATTAATTACTTGGAGAAGAAATTACATAAATCTTACTTAGACTAAAGAAATACCTAGTATTGTTAACATACTACTTTCACAAATCTTCTCTTAAACAACCATATGTAGCCTTGATGTCATTAGTTTCCAAGAACAGCTTAACCATACCCCATACATTTTTATGTTATGCTTTGGTTTCACCCCATTAAATATATTCATTTTTTTCCTTTTCTGTCCTATAGGTTATTTTAAAAAATATATTATTTCACTTTCTCAAATATGTCCCACTTTTCTATACAATCTCTATTTTAATCTTTATTTATTTATCTTATGGTATTGGGGATTGAACCCAGGGTGATATGCTAGTAAAAACAGAAGGTTTGTGTCTCCTCCAAACTCATATGTTGAGATCCTCATCCCTAATGTGGTATTAGGAGGCAGGGCTGTTAGGAGACAATTAACTCATGAGGGTTGAGTACCCTTATAAAAGAGACCCTGAAAGAGGGCATCATCCAAATTCAACCAGGTGAGTATTCTGATCTCTAATTTTCAGCCCTCATAACTGACAAATCAATGTTTGTGTTTAAGCCACCCACTATGATAATTTGTGTATCAGCTTAATTGACTAAGATGTATTTATTAGCATGATTTTTTGCTTGTTTCTCCTGCTTGGGAAAATTCTGCTTATAGGATTATAAATTTATAATTTATTAAATTCAGGGAATTTTTTTTTTTTTTAGTTCTCAATGGACCTTTATTTTATTTATTTATATGTAGGGCTGAGAATCAAACCCAGTGCCTCACTTGTGCTAGGCAAGTGCTCTCTAACTGAACCACAACCCTAACCCAAATTCAGCCATTGGTTCTTTAACTTTTTTTGTCTCATCCTCTCCCCTTTTGGGAATCCTATTACACCCATATCAGGACACTTGGTGTTATTTCACAATTCACAGATATTGTGTTGTTCATTTTCCAAGTCCTTCCTCTATCTCATTTTAAGTGATTTCTATGGTTGTCTTCAAGTTTATTAATCTTTTCTTTTTTAAACAGGGTCTAATCTGCTGATAATCTTATTCAGACCATTTTTTCTACCAGGACATTATATTTTTCTTCTCTAGATTTCTATGTGTAGATTTTTTTTTTCTTTTAGAGTAGCAAAGTGCTATTATTTTCCCCTCATCCAGTGCTTTTTAAAAAAAATTGTGGTAAGCCATTGGGTACAGTGGCACATGCCTATAATTCCAGTGTCTTGGGAAGCTGAAGTAGGACAATCCCAAGTTCAAAGCCAGTGTTGGTAATTTAGCAAGGCCCTATATTATATTATCTACTTGTGCTCCTAATTTAGTGAGACCCTGTCTCAAAAAATAAAAATCAAAACGTCTGGGGATATGGCTCAGTGGTTAAGTGCCTTTGTGTTTAATCTTTGGTACCATAATAATAATAACAATAATAATGAATAACAAAAACAATAACAAATAAAAAATCATTGCTAAAAACATAAAATTTACCATCTTAATAATTTTTAAATATACAATGCACTTGTGTTAATTATATTTGCATTGTTGTGAATTAGATTTTTGTATATCTTTTGTATTTTTTCTTATATATTTTTTAGTTGTAGGTGGACACAATATCCTTATTTTATTTATTTATTTTTATATGGTGCTAAGGATTGAACCCAGTGTATAGTTTTTTGTAGCACTGTACCACTGAGCTACAACCCCAGCCCTCATATTTTTTCTTAAAAGGCTCATCTTTCTACCTTCTTAAATATATGAACTATATTTATACTGCTTTAAAACTGTTTTAACAATTTCTATCACCTCTGTCACGTCTAGGTCTG